ACGTCTAATAATGATGGTAAAAAAAGAAATAACATTCTCAAAATAGTGGTTACAATACGCAGGGGCAATTCCATCTTAATGATACAGGGAAAGAAAAAAAGCACCATCCACCATAATAATGGTAAAAACAAGAGATAAACTTGAAAAACAAATCAGTCTAACAGTCTCAACGTTTGCCTTGTAACAATTGATTTCTTAGAAAAATTGAAAAGCGACAGTGGTTTCTTTGATCAAAATTTAAATAAAAATATTTGTTTATTTATAGAATTATTGCTGACGTTTCTGTGAAATTAAGTCGTCATTATCAAGAGTAAGACAGATTACATATATAAATGATATGATAAAATTGGACATAAAATTAGAGTATTAATAAGAATCACACGTAATATTTCTAGACTTGTATGAATATATATAAGCATAGATATTAGAGATGTGCGAGAAGAATGAATAAACTATAGGAAACGGATAGTGATAGGAGAAACAGAAGGATAAAAGTGTGATTTATGTGTATATACATAAACATATATATATTAATTCGACTTTGGTAGACAATGTTTTAGTATACCATTCAGAAAGATATGCAATGAAACCGAGTATGTTGTTCTATTTACTAAAGATTGATACGCTTTTATTAATAGTTTATACGATTTGCTTTCAGACAATACTACTTGACTGTTTATCCAATCAATCTGATGATTCAACTCAATTTGATGTCTGGCTATAGCTGATGGTTTTTCTTTCTTTTCTGTTTTTTTTATTCTGTTTCTTCATTATGGTTTCATCAATTACGTGTATGTCTTTGTTTGTTTGAATTTTTATTTCTGTTTCTAGTTCTAGTCGATCGTGTTATTGGATTATCATCTAACTGTATGTTAAATATTGTATTAGTTGTTGTATTATTATTATTATTAACTTTACAATTGTACATGATTTACTGTTGTTTATATTTATCATGAAATCATCTGATTAGAGATATCGATTCTTGGTTGATTGGAACATTTTCATATTATTATTTGGGTGATCAACTGTATCATTAACTATTGTGTGACATATTTTGTTAAAACTGGTTGATTGATTAGTTGATTCATTGCTAAAATATTTAGCAGTTTCACCATTCTGATTCATTTCTTGAATTCTTTTTTTGTTGGATCATTGATTGATTTTTTGTTTTAGTTCTTCGATATTTCTCAATAGTTTTTTCTTGTTCAATGAGAAATGGGTACATCATTTCGTATGTATTTCAAAATCAAATATTTTTCTTATATGCTATTGAAGTTTTCCAGTTTGTTCGGTCAATAGGTTCGTCGTCATTTGTAAAACACGTCGTTTCTATTTTGAATTGAAATTGCTCTATCTTAAAGTGAAATGGGTGCAAAATATTAGATTATTTTTTTGTTGAGAAAACTAATCATTTTTAGCAGATTCATAATACGAACGCCATTGCCAGACAAGATGTCTATTCATATGAAAATATGGAAGAAAGAGTTATTCTTATTATTTTCTACATATCTAATACTATATATATGACCTGTTGTTGAGATTATTTCGCAATTTGATGTTGTTCTATAAGCTATTGTCGGTATCTTCCACGATTATAATTACAATTACTGCAACAACAATATTTCTTCGAATTATTCAATTTACATTGACATCAATACTATTGTTGTAGTTCTTTTTTATCAGGTTTTTATTATTTTGTTGAGCATTAAGAGGAACTATATCCAATTCAGAGTTGTAACCAGTCGATGAAACTGATATTGTATCTGTACTGTTTTCTGAGTAAATGCGATTTTACACTTGTGTTCTTGAAATTTTTTGTTTTCAATCGGCTTTTAATCTGTTGAGTAATTAGTGTATTGTTCAGTCACAAGAAACTCATAAAAAAGCAAGTAAACTTAGATTATGAGATGTTGTCTATCGATTTTTTTCTCTGATATTAATAGGATATATATCTGAATGTGCAATTTCTTTTGTGAGATCGTTACACAAATATCGATCTATATTTACAAGAAAACTTAGAGTGAGGTTAAAGAAAAAATGTGTGAATGTGTATTTTAAAATTAATTGTCTCAGATACTTAGTTTCTAACTGATCATAAATTTATCATTCATATCTGAAGTCAAGCTAAAATATCGCCTTTGCTAGTTTATCTTGTAATGAAAAAGAATTAGCATTAGTCGTTTTTCGTAGTTATCAGACTTAACTATTCTAGATTCATTCATTAGTTCATTCTTTGTATAATATTCAAGTAATTAGTTAACAAGATGTCATTATCACAAGAGGATACTGCTCAAATTAATAATATGGTACAGATACAAAATATATTTGTCCA